AATCTAGTTTTTTCGCATGAATTACACTATATTTTTTGCTGTTATCAGGATAAAATTAATAAAAATCATAATGAAATCGTTTTCTTATAAAATATTTTTATATCCCTAATTTAAAGGTAATCTGAAATATTTATTTTTCTTGCTTTACTCTGTTATTACTACGCTTTTGAGTTTGAGTGCCTTCTAAATTAAGAATTTAAAACAAAAAGAGTTGTTCTTTTCTTATAATATAATTCTATGATCAATACGCTTAAATTTTAAATAAACTTATTGAAATCGGTGTCTAAATATATTAACAGTTTTACAGCTCCTATGTTTTGCACAAATTACATTAATGTGCTATTATTAATTACTGTTAAAGGGATTCTTTAAATAATTAAGATTTTAATGATCAACTTCATGCACAATGTGACGCATGCACAATAAATAACAGTCTGGTAAGCGAAAATATTAAATTACCTTTGTGAACGTACCAAATTTGTAACAATGTACTCTTAATTTTAAATTATGTTTTTCTAAAAAAAATTGTGAAGTAGAATTATATATGTTCTTGAATCGATCTTAAAAGTATCATAAAAGAAATGCTTGGATTTGGAGAGGGAGATACAAGCAGAAGAATAATTTAATAATATTTTTTTTTGATGAGGAATGCTTTCAAAATTTTTTTCAGATAAAAAAGAGAGCATCAACTTTTTCAAAAATACCTATTGATGTGAAGAAATATATACCCGATATTTTTAAGACGCAATTTTCAGTTCAAACAATGCTACATTAAGAGCATACATATAAAAATAGAGGAGGACACTGCGAATTTTTTGTAACTTACTCCAATCAGAAATTCATTTGAAGCTTGTTTTAGATTACAAAATAAGCGTCAAATTTTTCCAAAATCCCCATAGATTAGAAGAAAAAAAAGCTCAAAAGTTTTAAGAAGCCTTTGTTTAGTCCAAACCATGCTATGTTAAGAGCGTATAAGAATCACAGAGTTAAGAGCATGCTACGTTAAGAGCATATTAGTTGACATAATAGAGGGCACTTTGTGAATTTTTTTTATAATTTTTTGCAATGAGTAATTCAATTATCTTATTATAAATTAGAAAATGATCATCATTTTTTTTTCACAAATACAAATATGTTTCAAGAATTAAGTACTCAAAATTTGTATGAAGGATTTGTTTACTCACATTAAGTATTAGTTATATGTATATGTATAATTACGTAATAGTGGACAATTTGCGATTTTTTTTTTTCAAAATTTTTTTTCCAGAGAATAAATAATATTAAATTTGTTTCAGATTATAAAGGCAGTGTCAATTTTTTCCCACAAAAATACCCATGTGTGACGAGAATTAGGTACTCAAAAATTTTTAGAAGCAATTTTTAGTCCAATCAATGTTACATTCTGAGCATACCTATGAAATAAAGAAGGACATTTTGCGAATTCCTTATAATTTTTTTGCCATGAGGATATCGTTGAAACTTTTTTCAGATAAAAAGTTAGCGTCAATTTTCTTGAAATATACCCATAGATGTGAAGAAATAAATACCCAAAATTCTTAAGATTAATTTGTTTAGTTCAAATCTTGCCAAATAAAGAGTCATCCTTTACCATCGGGCTAACCGTGGGAGATTCTCGTGGTCTTCATCTCCATGTAATGCAAATGCAGGTTAGTTCCATCAAAAAGTCCTCCACAAAGGCGAATTTCTTCCAATACTTGATCTGGGAGTTTTCTTGTCTTCTGGATTGGGTACAAAATTACAAGGTTACGGAGTTGAACATTAGAAGTCGTAAACCCAAAAATTGGTTATAAGATAATAAAAAAATAAAGAGCCATGTTACGTCAGCCGTACAAAGAACTTATCAGTGGGGTTGAACTCACATTCATAGTGAAAATATGGGGTGTAGTGTAGTGCTCATCTTAGAGACGAGAGGTTATTGATCCGAAGCGGGTCGAAATCCTAAACGTGGGGTGTAGTGCTCATCTTTCTCCTACTAATGAAATTTTCGAGTTAAACTCCGTCTCCAGACTTTCGTGAGAGCTTGCATCAGATTCCGATCTACACTCAATTAAAATTTCTACCGGATTCCATGAAAGTGTTAATTATTACTATATCATATTTTATAATCGTATTTTATAATGTAAGTTACTTATTATTTTTAATATAAGTGATCATTTGAATTCTATTCTAAGACTAAAAGTAAACCTGATATCTTTAGTTCCTGTCTATTCAATCTATTAACCCTGTTTCGCAATAGAGTAAGCGGATTTATGCAACATTTCTCTTCAGTATTATGCAATATAAAAATACACCTGACCTCATATCGAGTTTTACAGTCAGTACCGAATTTACAATGATGAGAAAATATTGAAGAAAAGTAAAGTGTATTTTTTTACTGACTTAGCGAATTCTGCGATGAAAAAAAATTAAATATTGAAATTTTTAAATTAAAAAAATAATAACTCTTCTATGGTTTTATACAAAGAAATAAGAAATTAAATATTGAATATAAGTTATACGAATTGATTTGATAGAGTTTCAGTTAATTTTCCAGATATTACCATCATTTTATTAAGTATTATTCTAAAATGTGTTGCAAGAATTTGTTATAAAATTTTCACAGGAAGCAAATGAAAAGTCTTTGGTTTTCGAATAACAATAACAGCAAGTAAACCATTTACTTTTTACCTGCTTTGACAGCTTTATATGCAACATATTTTAATATAAAATTTATATAAAATGGACACAATATCTGGAAAATTAATTGAGACTATATCAATTCGATTCTTATAAGTTACACTCAATATTATATTGCCTACTGTTTCATGCAAAGCAGTCGAAACGTTGTTGTTTCTTTAATTTTAAAATTAGTTTATTATTATAGGAATTTTTTTTATGAATTGTGCATTGCAGAATTTTTCTGAAAATGGCCTCGCTGGAAAAAAAATGAATATCGTATTTTCTGAAATATTCCAAGAGCATTTTTTTTAATACTAAAATAATTTGGTCCAAAGCAAATCGAGAACATTGAAAAACTAGTATTATTTTCTCTTAAAATACCCACATATGTACTATAAAATTTATAGACATTTTTTTTAATGAATTAAAACCAAAACGCCATGTCGAGAGCATAATATTATAAAAATGTTTGTTGATGATGAGATGTTTATAAAAATATGCATATAAAAATATGCAATTTATAAAAATATATATGTTATTTCGCATTTCCTTTCAAAATTAACATACTTATTTTTCTTAAATATTTTTTATTGCGAATAAATATTTACTCGGAGCTATTAATACGGGACTTATATTTATACGGAGCTTATATTAATACTTATATTTATAAGGAGCTATTTATACGGGGGCGAATTATTATAATAATTTAATTCTCGACATTTACACCGGCGCTATTGGGTTTCATTGCCTTTAACACATGTTTTTAATTGTCAAGTGTTATTGTTAATCCACTTTTAACTGATCACCACCACTGTCATTTGGCAAAATTTTACTGTAATTTTAGTTTTTAGAGAAATTTATTGTAATAATTTTACTTTTATCTCCGTATACCCCCCTGGGGTGGGTCGGAGTTCAACCTATCTTATACGGGGGCGAAAATCCCTTGAAAATAGTTTTGTATGAAAGAATAGATTTAAATTTTCCGAAAGTACCGATACATTTATAAAAATAGTTTTACGCTATATCATTGAGAGAGAGAGAGAAAAAAAAACGCAACATAATTTCGTCCAAACCATCCAATAAGAACTTAACTTCCACAAAATAGTTTTCAAGTTAGGTAATAGCACAGTGCGAGAATTTCTCGTTTAGACCCATGAAAATGGGGTTTTAAATGAAATTGTGATTTGTAAATTATATTTTGGTGGAAATGTGCTATATCGTTTTCCTATCGTTTAGTTTAAGGTCCGGCAATGATTTTTTTCTTTTACTACCATAATAGTTATAATGTTAAGATTTTGAAAGTTGTTTAAATATGCTAATGAAGGAGCTCCCACGAATTTTTTGCAGTTAATTATTTTTGCAACAAAAAAATCTTTTTTCAGATGTGAGGGAATTTGAAAAAATTAGAATTCAACTATGTTTGTGTTGCTTATGGAGTGTTTAATTTTCCCTCTAACATAGTTTCGGTGATTACGGGTAACTTATGAAAGCAAAGGTGTTATGTATTTCACACCCTTAATATATATTTCAAGAATTCTTTTTCAAAAATGAAGTCACAAACCACACACAAAAGAGGTTGAAATAATAATTTAAACAATTAAAAAGATACATCGAAATTTGATTTAAGCATTTGAGTTTGTCTGTTTTTGCACGTGCAGAGTTAATGTTTGCATGTCATTGCAAATGTTCGACAATTAGCCTCCGCCTCTTGCTTCCCATTCGCTCCTTTAACAAGCAGGCCGCCCATGCGTTAATAAGCGCGAACTCGATGAAGCAGGAATACCATTATTCTGAAACTGGTGACGGCTAATTGCAATTTCAATCAAGGAACCGCCAGTTGTATGTGATTTTAGCGTGTTAAAATACTTGTGGCCAGTTTACAAGTAAGCATTAGTAGGAGTTTACCCAGCTGTTCATGTAAAAAATCCAAACTTTATGCATGAAACGCGCATCAATGCATCTGCGGAGCCACTATAAGAGCTTAATTCCTTTAAAGACGGAAAAGTTAGATCTATCATAACTGAATTTTCCATCATACTTTTGACTGCGGTGAAACTTTGTCAAAAGAATCTTTCTTAAATGTGCAAAAAGTTTATTACATTAATACATTGTTGTGTTCTAAAGGGAACTAAATCAGTATTTGCGTTGAATGTCTATGTTAACGATATTCATTTAGAATGTTTGTTAATGCCATTCGTCATTTAGTTTATCATTTGAATAACGAAAAGCTTTTGATACACGGGATTTATTATTGCTAGAATATATTTCTTTCGAGAAAATGAAATTTGTGCAGCTCTTAAGCAAATCAGACAGAATCAAAAATTGGTTTTTTGAAACCTTTACTCTTTAAGCTGTAACTGTGACTGTTATACATATTTTTCCGGTATCAAATTTTAGTAAATGAAAACAAATATTGTATTATTTCTGGTAATACTGTTATAAATAAAATAGTTTTTGTTACTCTTGCATTAATTTTATACAATATAAATTGTAATTTTGGTGTGTTGCAAATAAAACTAAAATGGTAAGTTTTCCATTTTGATAAGCAATTCTATGATAAACATTTAAGCTCTTCTCAAACGAAGTTTTTCGTTAAACATCTTATATTTTTAGTAAATATTATTCATTTTACCATCGTTATTTTTCAGCTTCCATTGTCTCTTCTAAGAACAGCACAAAACCACCCCATGGTAAGTTGTTTTAAAAATTTGTGGTTTTATAGTAATATAGGCTGAATATGTTCAAAGTGAACAATGATAACTATTAATTATATCTTTCTGGTTTGAAAACTTTTCTGTTTGTAAATGTACAGAGTTGGTAAGGGTATTGAGTTGCTTAACAATTTTGGATATGGTTCTTTTTAATTGTTTTCATGAGTAAAACACTTTTTTACAACACATTCTAAATTTCGAAAGCTAGATTATTTGGCAATATCCTAATCACCAGATTTATACTTTGAGATAATTATTTTTATCCTGATGAGGATATTGATCTGTCATGCAAACTATAATCACCAAGGCATTAAATTGATTTTAAATGGAAAACATTAAAAAAACAAGCATGTAGATGTTTACTCAGGGGGGATATTTCCGTATCTTGATCTGTTGCGCCAACTGCAATCGCCAAGGGGCCAAATAGATTTTAAACTTGCAATTTAAAAAAAAAAAGCTTGTATATGTTTGCTTGGGGGTGGTTACGAGTTATACCTTTCGAGTTGGTCCCTTTCTGTGATGTTTTTTTTAAGTTTCTAACGGGCCGTTGCCCGGAAAATGCCAAGACTTGGCGATTATTCTGCCACAGATCAGGATATGAAAATCTCCCCGATAACTTGTCACTCTCCTCTTTATAGTGCGTTTTTCGTATAAACAAATAGGTTGCAAGTATTTTGTTCAAGTTTGCTAGAGATTTTCTCGGCAATTTCAAGATTTATATTATAAAGGAATAAGAGAAGAGTTATTGTGTTAGTTATAAATAGAGTAGAACCTGGATCAATTTCTCAAGGGACCATGCAAAGGCGGCGATTATTTGAATTAGTGAATTTGTACAGATAGCATCTTTGTAGTTTTAAGCCAACTTTTGGCCATTATCTTAATTTGATCATCATACATCTTAATTTGGATGTTATATGTTGATATTATCCCAGAAAAATGAATGAAATTCATTTTAGGGAAAAATAAATTTATTAACCCCTTAACTGCCGAGTAAAATTTATGCGATTCATTCCCCAGTGCCACCGTTTTTCGCTCAAGTGCACTTTCTTACGCTGTGTTTTGGTGGGGAAAAATGATGCACCCGTTGCAATTTAAAAACAGTTTACTTTTACAAGACAAGAAAAAGGAAAGAAAGAAAATACGGAATTTAAATTAAATAATAAAAATACAATATAAAAGATGTTAAAACTTAGCTGTTGCATGATAAATCCTGATACATGGAACATAAACCAACATCACATTGGCACTGATAGCGGGATTCATGACAAATTTTTTTTCTTGGACAAACAGAATATTTTCGCGATGCATTTTTCTTTGAAGACGCGATGCATTTTTCTTTGAAGATGGAAAGAATAAAAAGCACCATATAGACACGGGAAACAAAAGCAAAAAAAGAATAAACCCGAATAGAGACATGCAAGCAATTAATACGATATCACTTTTCCATAACATCCTTTTCAATGTACAATTTTTTCCCCCTAACTATTTTCCAATTTANCAAAGCAAACACTTTCAAGGTCATTTTACTGCATTCTGAAGTAGAGGGGTGTGGTTCTATTTATAGCAGCGCAATGCAAAGCATCCTACTTCGGGAAAGCGTATATATACGCCTGCGGCAGTTAACGAATCGTCTGGCCGAGACGTATATATACGCCCGTGGAAGTTAAGGGGTTGAGTAAATGTTAAGTAGAATGGCGAAATTAAAAAATATAAAAGTAAAGAAAAGATATTCCTTAAAGGGATGAAAAGAAATAATTTTCTTCATATCGAGAATTTCAGCTAAGATTATTCAACGGTTAGGTCTGGGAGGCCCCAAAGGGCCCCCCAATCTTCACTCCAAGAGTTCTGAATTTAAAGTGTAAGAATTGGTTCCAATGGATGGTTAGGAGCACAGGAAGAGATCCAAAGTTGGCGAATTATAGAAAGATAACGTAGCCGAAAATTAAAGCAATCAATATTAAATTTGAAAATAACTTGGCGATCTCGAATTGCCGAAAAGAGAGTTAAAATTAGTATAACAATGGACTGGAAACATATTTGTGGTAAGAAATAAAGAATAAAGTGTTATAAATAGATTTTTGTTCTAAATTTAGTCGCAACATTGAATTAGCGAGTCTTACATAAGTATTGAAATGAAAAAATAAAAATTAAATAATTAGTTTATTTCAATTAAAATTCAATTACGAAGGATTAAAAAAAATAAGTTTCAGAAATTAAAGAAATTTTATAATCTGGGAAATATATGATGCCTAATATGGCATCACAAACCATTCATTAAGAAATAAATCCAAGAAAACGACCAATGCATGTCAACATAATATCAAATAATGAATAGAAAATGTATGGAAATTAATAAATTTACAATAATTTACAATGATGCAAAAGAAAGATTAATGTATTTATTTGTTTAAAATATTTGGACATTTTTGTTCTCTTGTCAGTGCAACCAACAGAGTTTCTCATTGTTTTAAAGGCTTTGAGGCCTTTCAGAAATGTGTGCTCTAATTGATTCTGTTACGTTACGTACAGTGGGTGATCGGTNTCTTGAAAGTGTTCGTTATCCGAATATGTGTTTGTTAACCGAACACAAAAATCTTTCGTGAAAGTGTTCGTTAACCGATCAGTTCGTTAACCGATCACCCACTGTATTGTTGATTAAAAAAATGGTTGCACAAACTGAAAATTGCAAAGTGATACTGATGAAAACGGAAAAACAGAATTACAATCAGTGCTTTCATTTGCAGAATGCCTTAATGTCTTTGAAACGATGGGGAACTTTTTGTATTCTACAAACTTACAGAGAACAAACTTTCCAAACATTTTAAATAAATAATTCTAAATAAAAAACATTCTAAATATTCTTGTAGTAAGTACAAATGTTTTTTATTCTGAATGTTTATTTATCAATCTTCAAGTTAATCACTTTATTATGTTTCTTTCATTTTAAAGTGATTATTTAACATCTTATATTGGCCTGCGTTCATCATTTTCCTGTATCGTTTGTTATGAATGGTCGTATGGAAAATTATCGATTTGTCTTCTACTGTATTTGTTTTGTTGTTAATTGTTGATAATATTTATAAATTCTGTTTTCTAATTTTTCAGCTTGTAGAGTTAAAAAATGGTGAAACATATAACGGTCATCTTGTCAACTGTGACAATTGGATGAATATCAATTTGAGAGAAGTTATTTGCACTTCGCGGGTAAGTTGTATTTGTCTCTCTTCCAAAGTATTCTTTTTATTTTTTTTGTTTATTTACAAAATTGTTACCGCATTTTAGCATAACAAAATTAAGTCCATAATACATATTAGATTACATGTAAGACGTAAGGTTTTCAACAATTTTTTATAAAGTATTACCCTCTGGTGCCTTTGTAAGTGAATTGAATTTTTCAAATTGTATGCGACAGCTTGAAGGCTAAAAGTTAAGTTTCAGTAAATTGGACGAAATTTTCAGTCACTGTGTCCTGTTATTAATTTTTGGTTCTCATTATAAATTTTCTTTAATAGTTTCATTGTAGTATTAAAGTCACTTATTCTTTGTCAATTTAGGATCATTCCATGGTGACTAGTGTAACATTCAGAGCTGATTTTATAAAACTCTTTTTATTTTAAACTTGAAAAATAAAATATTATATATATTTCTATTTGTGAATTAGCAAAATACATGCTTTATATGTATCATATCTACCAAGAATTTAAAAAAGTAGACGGCTCTGCTTTCTATTCGCTATACTCGCCAACCCTCGTAATTGCTCATTCATCGTTGTTTATTTCCTCATAAACATAAATATTTCCAACAAAAAATATATATTTTTGTTTCAAAGTATATAATTATAGCAGCATTATTTAAGAACATTTTGTTAATATGTTAATTATAAAATAATAGATTTGAGAAATAAAAAAATTAACCCAAAGAATACAGTTTTTAAGACTTGGAGAAGAAATAAATGGGACGTAATTATACTCATTGAAGAGACGTATAACAATTTAAATCTGGAATGGTTGTTATTGCTATTAAATTTTTATAATTTTTATTTTTGAAAATTTCTCTATGAATGTTGAAATTAGTTTCTAACAACAAGTAACCTCTATCTTTTGCTTCCTTTAATTGACATCTACTCAAGTGTGGCTTATTTTTACAAAAAAAAGGGCAACAAGAGCGCTTTTATAGGAATCAAAAGGCGAGCCTTTCTAAAAACGCTTAGGGAGAACACTGAAATATATTTGCAACCAAATTATAACAGCAGAAGTGCTTTGTGTTTTTTGAAAGGTCTACACATAAGGAATAAAACTGGATTTTATTCATCAACTCATAATATTATAACATTTAAAGGAATATATATATTAATATTATGGATATTATCACATTTTGGAGGGGGACATCAACTCTATTTCCTTTTTTTATCGCAGTTTGGAAGTCGTCACAACATTAATAAAAACGAATTTGAAAAATTCTGAAATCCATAGCAGTAATTTTCAAAAAAAAAAAGTAATTCATTAAAATAAAGAAAAAACACCAATAGCAAAATTATATGGATTTCTGTCGAACTCTTCAAAGAAAGGTTACTCAAATGCATGTTTCGAAATTTGCGCATTTGAATAAATAATATCGTAATAACTATGTGAAGATCAATACAAAAAACTAAAACAATAACAATCGGAAAAAAACCCTGCTCGAATCTTCTTGCCAAAAAGTAAATACACAACTGTGCAATTTGAGTTTTAAGTTTATCATAGTGTATGAAATATTTTAAGATTTTTTAAAAACCATGTGAAAATCAATAACAGGAACTGCTGAAAAAACAATCTAAGAAACATATGGATTTACAATATTATTGTTACAAAAATTGATTGCTTAGATGAAGATTTGAATTTCATGTGCAGTAATAATATATGGAAAATACTCAAATTTTTAAAAGTATATGGAAATCAGTAGCAATAATTGTTGAAAAAATGGTGTAATCGCTCTTTAAAAATGAATAATCAAATGCGCTTTTCGGTTTTCGAGTGTTGTAATAATATTGTGTAAAAAAAAATTTCAAGAATTTTTTTTTTTTTTCAAAATCTGCAAATTTGCAACAGTAACTGTTGAAAAAAATACTAGAAACATGGCATGGATTTACAATGATATTGGCACAAAATGAACGTCTCAAAAAGTGATTCCTTAAATGTGTGATTCGAATTTCAGGTGTTGTTATATTATCATGTTTTTAATCGAATATCAGTAGTAATAACAGATTAGCGAAAAACATTGAGATTTTAGAAAACCATATAAAAATTTATGACAATAATTGCAGAAATAATTTTCAAATCACCCACATAGATTTACATTTGAATTAGATCTAGTTGTGTGTTTTAAAGTGATTACTTCAAATGCGGGATTTGTAATTTTCAGGTCATAATCTAATGTTAAAAATATTTAATCGATATTATTATTTTAGCCAAATACAAAAAGAAGGTATATTCATGTAATTATATTTCTTTGACATGTCTGAATTTGTAACAAAATTTCACTCAGTCATATTTTATTGAAAAGTAAAATATGAAGTTCCTTAAAGAAGTGAAAATTTTTTTTTTTCTAGAGCCAACAATCGATTAAATTTTCGCGATTTCCGAAAAAAAAAAAAAGAAGTTATACTATCAATTTCAAGTTTCAGCAGTACACAGTTCCAGCCACTACGGAATTTTTTAATTTTGAAAGTTATGCCGAGGTCGCGTCTTGCTCCTGCAAGTCTGCATAAAATAAGTAAATAAATGAAAAAATAAATAAATTCGAGTCATCAAGAGCTCATGCAGAAAAAAAAATAAGAGTTTATTTTAAGAAAACTGTAAATGTCTTGTTAATGATATTTTGCAAAAAAATTAAATTGGTGAAATTTTGTTCAAATTCCGATTGAGTTCACGGTGGTTTTTCAAGCGTTTCTTTCCGGTATGCGAGAAAAACAATCTTTTGAAAACAATTTTGCAAAAAAAAAAGCATTTTTTAAATAATTCTGCAAAAAAGTTTTTTGCTGACCCACTTTTGTTCTTGAAAAGAAAACCATACTTCACTAGTTTCTGGTTCTAATTCTGTAAAAATTCAATAATTTAAATCAGAGTGTTTTATTTTTTATTTTTCTTACTGAAAAAAAAATTTTTTTTTTGTAATCTGTTAACAGAGATTAATAAATTCAGTGGAAAAGGTTTAAATAATTAAGGTATTACTGTATGTAAATAAATTCTCTTTATCTCTTGATATAGCTTGTATTATCAGGTTAACTTTTTTCTAACTATTAACTGTTTAAAATATACTTCATCTTAGGCATCCTGTGTTAACTTAATCCATTTTGACTAAACAACACACACATATAGATACACACACATATATATACATGATTTTTATTTATTTATAATTTTTTTTTTGATGTTGCTGAAAATATGCTAACGCATAGTTTTATTCTGTTAGTTTCTGTATTTAATTTTGAAAGTTAATTAGTTTATATCTTATATGTATTTTTTTCTTGTATTTTAGGATGGGGATAAGTTTTGGAGAATGCCTGAGTGTTATGTTCGAGGTAGCACAATTAAATACATGCGTATTCCAGATGAAGTTATTGATATGGTCAAAGAAGAAACTTTGTCTAAAGGTCGGGGTAGAGGTGATTTAAAAAGAGGTGGAATGGGTCAAAGAGGAAGAGGAGGTGGCAGAGGTAGTTAAAACTATTATTTTTGCCCTTCATTGAAATAATTTTTTAAGCTTTTCTTGTTTTAAACTTAAAAAACTACTTTTTATAACAATGCAGCACTTGCTTAATTTGGTTGTCATTGTTTATTTGTGGTCAGTTTTGGTTTTTGGTGCATGTAGATGTTATATATGTCCAGTCTGCACTGTTTTAAAAGCTCATTTATAATTTATTTGTTATTCTAGTCCTACATTTTTCAAAATGAAATGATTCCAGGAAAGCTTTTCCCAGATTGACAGAGTAGCCCAGCTATGAACTAAATTATTTTTTATAACATTTAGTTAGGGTGCAGAACTTTTACCATTATCAATCAAATACTTAATCCTGGTGAATAGGTTTCATATTTTATTATTAGAACATAGCATTTTAGTGTTGGAATTTTGAATTTAACTTTATATGCTTATATTTTCATGCTTTAATCCAGTGCCAAAAGTAAAAGACATGTTTCAAAATCAAGTGATTGTATTTTGCATTTCATTATTTTACATTTACTATATTTTACATTTCATTATTTTACATTTACTATATTTTACATTTCATTATTAACAGAAAAGATTTTTTCCTGTGTACAGAGCACGAAATAAATAAATAATAATGGAAATGAACAGAAAAGCTGAATAACTTTAACTCGAATAATTGGGTTTTTACATGCTGACACATCTCAATTTTAATCTCTTTGGATTTGACTTAAATTATGCTAATCAACATGAGCTGATGATATTTTAAGTAAAGGAATTTCCTTTTATTATACTGGATATAAATTTTTGAACCTCAAAATATTGCGGGTAGCTGAAATCTGAAAAATATGGTTAAAATAATTTAATCAGGAGAGCAGTCAAAAATTTATCCTCTTGATTTTAAATTTACTTTTTGCGAGTTTGGCTTTATCTATAAAACCATTAATTATTGAATTTATCTACAAAATGAATAATTCTAGGAAAAGTTATTAAGTTGTCTATTTTTTATTTTGCACGTTGTACAGGTTTTTTTTCTGTAATTTTGAAATATTTTTGTTGTTTAAACAATTTTTTTTGTGAAGTTGATTTTTGTTTAAGTGGGTTAAAACTATTTGATTTTATATTTTAAGAAAGATTATAATTTACAGATGATGATCTATTTTGTTTATTCTTTATTTCGTATGATTTTTTATATATTTTTATCTGTGTAAAAATTATGAATTTAAAACTTTTCTAAATAGAATTTTTTAAATTTTTTCAAACGTTTTTTTAAGTTAAAATTTAATGATCTTAATTTCAAAATGTTGAATTTTGAAAATTTTTAAACATTTTTGAACTCTTCATATTATTTTATTTTTGTTCTTTAATTGTTGTTAGTAAATAAATCCATTTTTTTGTTCAAAAAACTGTTATATGCATACTATTTATTACTGCAACCTTCCCCTGATGATTAAGTTTATTGTGTTTGCTAATACTTTTTCCTTTTTGTTTTTCCATTTTTTTTCTGCAGGTACTTTTGGTGCGAGGGGTGGAGGCCGAGGTGGTGGTCAAAATCGTGGACCTGGTCATAACAGACCTGGCTCGAGGCCAAAACCTTCATAAAATTTTAGATCTTAATTATTTCAGCATATTGTTTTCATTCGAATGTATAAGCGGAATACATTTCATTAAAATCTCATTGAAAATGTTGTAAATATTAATAAAAAATCATATTTATTTTTGTTATTTTTGCCTCATTTTTCAAAGTAGCTTACATTTATCGTGTTTTGCTATCTGTCAACTAATACTTTTGACTTTTTTATTTATCAACTATTACAATTTAGTTTAATTAATAAAGAAGAGCACCGTATGGCTTGTTTCAACCAATATGGTTTGTAATATAAGTTCCCAACTTAGCCACTCGATGAATTTTAGGGAAGCACTAGCGAAATTATGGGTGTTAGAATGTGTGAAATTTATGCACCTTAAAATTTGTATTGAATATTTACATATAATATATTAAAGTAATTATGTTAATAATTTTTTGAAGCTCTTTTTAACGATGATGAGAGAATACCCGACTAATCGCTTAGCAATTTTAAAATTGAACGGAGCTATAATCTTTGTATGAATTTAAAGTTTTTGTATTATCTTCAAATTTCTTAAATTTTCCTCTAATAGGCTGATTTATTATTGAACTAAAAAAAAAAAAAGAATGCATTTATAAAAGATATTAGAAATCTACTATTCAAAAATTTAAAGTCTTTTGTTTACTTTTCTCATGATTCATAAAGATGTTTTTAATATATTTTTTAGCTTAGTTTGTTTGTATAACTTATGTGTTTTTTCTTCTAATACAGTTTAAAGGCATATTATTAAAATAAAATTATTTTCAACTTGCATAGTATAATTTGCTCATTTGATTTTAAAATATGTTTGACTCAGTTTAAATTTTAAATTTTTTTTTTAAAAATGTTGAAATTTAATTTAATCGTTGATAAAATAGTTCTGCGAAACTCTCACGGACAGGTGATTAAAGAATTTATTTTAAGATTAAGACGATATATAAGTTGTTGGGAAATTTTAAGATACTTTAAAATGTTGACTACGTATTCGTATTAATAATTATAAAATATATAGTGAAGAAATTTATAAATATATTATTTCATATCTATGTATGCGTATGTATATTATTGAAATCGTATATATTATTGAGAAAAACTAAAAAAATAAAATGTAATCACATTAAGCACAATCCGGTGTATAATTATGTTCTATCAGAAGCATGCTTTTATAAAACGCTACATAACGTTGAAAAAAGGGTTTTTATTCAATAAAATTTTTTATTCAAATTTCTTCACTAAATTGCAAAAATTTTTTTAGACTACTGAAAAAGAAACATCGTATTTTATAGTTTAATAAAAATAAAATAAATGCAAAATTATGAAACTTTTATTATAAAAGTAAACATGAATTTGAATGCTTTTGAAAGTATGCGTGAAAGAGGACAAGGAGAGCACATGTACGCAAATGTGGACAGGTAAGTTTTAGCATGCAAAATAATATAAAATGCGATTCACTAAAAAATGACGAGAATAGTGATAGCCGCAAGGCGATCACAGGTTACCCATCGGCAAAATGGTTGTTGTCTAAATTTTTTTTTTTGGAAAAGCAGCTTTATTTTGTTTTCATCTTGGACATCTTTAACTGTTAATCCTGAACTGCTCGATACACAATTTTGCAGATATATTTAAATGAAGTTGGCACATTCCGTGTAAATTCTTTAGATGTTTGAATAGACATTGAACAGCCAATTGAGATCAATATTAAAATTTTCGGATTGGTACAATGGTGTTTGACGGAGATTGTAAACTCCATCATGCACCCGTTTCGGATTCACAAGTTCATACATGAAATATGATTTGAAAGCTTGGCTTTTTATCAATTTTGCATGAATAGTGAATGAATTATTTATATTGCGTGGAAGACAGTCTACGGTCTTGTGCAAGTTATTGGGTACGTTGACAATGGATCCTTTTATCCGTAACTGGTGATCAACGCCCAGTTATCGTATTTGCATGAAAGGGGTTCGGAGAGTCACCATTCGCTCTTCGGTAGGGTTCGATTCTCTCATCTACTTTGGTACTTTTGTGAGGGACTGGCTTCATGCTTGCGTTTGCGAACGGAATCCTTTCGTTTTTCCCGTCTACACTCTTTGGCTTTTTCAGCCTTGGTCAGTTTAGGCCTTGGCGTCGTTTTATTTTCTTACTTCAACTCTAACTTTTGGGACAGTGTCAATCAATTTGGACCCTCTTTATTTGTGATATTCACATGAATTAGTATTGAAAACGATCCAGTTTGAACTATAGGTTAGAATTTCTGAATCTTAATTAAAACAATAAAGACAAGAAAAAATCGTTCAAATGATGAAATTCTCTTTTATTCACAACTCAAAAAGTATTTATGGGATCTCTCTGGCCCCATATCTCAGAAATAAGCTCACCAATTTCATGTGTAACAAAATTAAAAGTGGAAAAAAGAACTTTAAGAAAATTATCAAACTGCAGCTGTCGCCATAGCAACGCATGCTCACTGTTACTCTTGATAATTGAAGTTGGAAAGTGAGGACGCCATGAAATCCAAACCAAAAACCCATTCTACCAATGGGTAAAAAAGGCGATGGTTTGCAAATTGAACTTACTACATTCATTAAGGCCCAACATCATTTTTTTTAAAGTTTTTGTTTACACTTACCCTGTGACATGAGATCAGTGTAGACAAGTCATTAAATTAATAGAAAAGCAGTTGGAATCAAAATAGACCGATTTACTCTAAAAATATCGCAGTGTGTAGATAATCTTAATTTTTATTCAATTGTAGGTGAAGCAATCCTAGATAAAACAAATAAATGCCAACACAAATAGTGCTTGCGTCTTGGCAATAGCAGTTACAAAATTGAAAAAGAACTTAATGCTTNTTTTTTTTTTTTTTTTTTTTTTTTTTTTTTTTTTTTTTTTTTTTGCATTTTATTCTCCCATTTTGCTTTAAATAACTACCATTTATTCTTTATTATAGGAAAATATCTCGGGTATTTTATGTTATAAGTTCGCGCTTGAGTCGATATAAAAAATAATCAAGAAAAAATTAGACATGTTGCTATTTACAAAACCCTAACATTAATTTTGAAATTTTTAACACTTAATTTAAGAAAGATAAAAAAAAATATTTTTGTACCGTGAGGAATAATTTCATTTCTCATTTATTTCCTCATATTGTGCAGGTTTACAGATACTCTTTTATTTCATTCTGATTTGTTTAAAGGAAATTTATATTTCACTAATTGTGTCTTTTTGTGGTTACATATTAAGTAAGGATCTTTTGTTTAAATAAAAACCATTATTTATTTAATCTTAGTTCCCACAAAAAATTGAATTTTTAACCAATCTTTTTTTTATTTGTATACAAATGATATAATCATTTAAACAATTTCATATTTACGTACAATTTATATACGTAAAATTTTTTTTCTTCTTTCTATTCTATAGTTTGTACGTTCTGTGGCTGTTGGAAGCCCGCTCCAAATACCTCCAATCAACTTATCTTCAACTTGCGAAGTGCAGATCACCAAAGTCAAACATCACTGGCTGCGGTCAGTGTGCGGGTGGGTGACCACTTGGATTGTTAATCGCTTAACGGTTTGATAATAATTCTCTTATAAATATTTTAGATATTTTTTTCATGAAAATTAAACTGCAATAAAAAGTTAAAATTTTAAAGAATAATAACTCATAATTCACGATTTTTATAAACTTAGGGAACATTCTTACTGAAGGTGGTTCTGTCGTTTTACTTTATATGCATCAATCAAGATTTCGATTTCTAAAAGTATAATATGAATAATAACATTAAATATATATAATGTATATATTTAATATGAATTTTTATTTTGATGAAAGAGTGATGAGAAAAATATTTTAATTGCAGAGCTGGGAAATATTTTGTATTAAAATGGAAAGTTTTTTTTTCCTACAAAATACTAAATTGTACACAAAATCGTTTATTTATGATAACTAAAAAGAAGGAAATATCTCCACTGTTCTTAAAGATGAAAACCGGTTTAAGTATTTCTTTTGTTTTCGAACTTAATCAGAAAAGTTTGAGCTTACTCCAAAAACTCCGAGTCGGGGAATTAACCCTGAATTAAGTACTCAATTTACTCACAATACTGTACTGTCATTTGACTATTTTGGCAGGCAAACATAATTTTAGCATTATTAAAAAAGCCTTAAGTTAAGCGAGTTGTGTTAAATTCTGCTACTATATATTCTAAACATGAATAACAATAATAATGATAAAAACATGAAAATATTCTTGCCATCTATTTGCTACAATCAAATATTTGTATTTCAGTTTTTTTTAACCTTTACGTTCGTTTGAAAATTTTTATTAATTTATACTAATTAATTCGCACTTGTGTGCATACGTGTAAAAATGAATTATAAAAAGTTAAACAGCTCCTAGCTTCGAGAGATAAACATTTATCTATGCTTGAGAATCACAGAAATAATAGAATTTTTTTTGTATTTCTTATAAATTATTTACTTTATATTTTTTGTTTAAATTTTATTTATGTCTCAATTACATTTCTACTTTTAATTTTAGATTATTTTCATTTGGTTGCTAACTTTGTTTTTTATATAGGGTTTGAATATTTTTTTTGAAATAGTTTTTCGAGTTTACAGTACGTTAAAAAAATGATTTGAAGAAAATCGAAAAATACCTAAACGAACCGGTTTCTGAATGATATGCTGCTTTTTAAGCAGTTGAGCTTTTTTTTTTAAATAAAATTTCTTTGATTTAAGCTCCTTCTTATTATTTTGTCTGTTTTCATTTTTATTCTTTCGAATGTAAGCGTCTATTACATTAAAACAGCACAAAAATATTTGCAACAATTATATATATACATATTTAAATACTTCAGTATTTTTGTGTGTCTAATTCAGTATTATATCGCATATTTTTTTGAGATAATATATGTCAAAAAAATATGTTAGCAACAACGTGCAAATTTATCATTTTTTTTTAAAATTCAAATTGAGTCACATAATATCTGTTACTTTCTCATTCTCAAATTCAGATTGAAGTTAGAAAGAAAGAATTCATGATTTAAACAAATTGTTTGTTGAATAAATAACACGCAATAATTTATTTCATTTTCTTTAAAATGTAGAAAGAACAATTGGAAA